AACATCTAGCATGGGCTAATCAAAAATCCACCTGATGCATTCCACAGCAGCAGATAACCATTGTTTACATTTTGTCTCTGAGGCCTCTCAGCTTCTCAGGAAGAAAAAATCTTAAGGGAAGGATTTTACATGGAAAGATGTCTGCGACATACAAGTCGTGGCACAACTATTTTTGTGTCTTGGCATTTTTGAAGTCGTGGCACGACTATTACCCTTTCTGTCCACTGAAATGCTCCTAAGTACTCCCCTGATTATGGTTTTATTCTGCATTTTCTTACAGAATATTATGAGCATGAACTAAAGCTAGGGTTTAGCAATGGCAGAGCTGCTAATTGTGCTGCAGTTCTGGTGTGGTTTTGTGTGTGGTTTGGTTTGGGGTTTTTTTGTCTTGAACTGTTTTATGCTTTATTTTGTTTGTGAGTAGATATCAGCAAAAGCTCAGCTTGGAGGATGCCTAAAGGGACACACTCAGTGCCCAATCAAGCCTGATTTTATTCAGTAACAACAGAAAATAACAGAGACAGGAGAAAATTTCAGTTTTGCCTTTGGTGCAGGGGAACGAGCAGCCCAAAGCAGCTCTGGGGAGCTCCCCTGGGCCAGCAGAGCTCCCATCAGAGCAGGGGTGGGTGAGGAGCCGAGGCAGAGCCCAGACACCCCCTGGGACTCGGTGATTCTGCCCTGTGCCAGCACCTGGGGAGAATGCTGATGTCAGTGGTGCAGTTAGTGCTGTAATCAGCCTTGACAAGATGAAATATGGCCTCTGAATTCCAAAACATATGGGATTATTGAGAAGGAAAATGGTGTGAACAAGGGCAATTATAGCAATAACTATCCATGACACACTACATGGAGCCAGCCAAGCATAACACAGATATAATGAAAATATTTTTAAAGGCAAACATGATGTAAGCCAGTGCCAAAATGATCTAATTTATTATTCTGTCATGAATGATAAATGTTAATAACCTCTGTGTTTCAGAAAATAGCAAGAAGGCTTTCTTTTATGTATGACTTGCTACATGGTTTTAAAGGAGACAAAGGGAAGAAAGAGGATGAAAAACCTTTCTCATCTAAATTCTAATCTTTAATTTTTCAGCATATAATTGCTCCAGTTATTTTTGCACCCCTCACCACACCTGCACACCTGTGCAGCACAGAGGAGGCAGCTGGCAGCCTGGCAATCACCACAGAACCAGCCCTGGCCTGGGAAGGAGCTGCACCCCGAGAGGGAGCTCGGGAGATGGAGATGTGACGTTTCTGGGCTTGCATTCTCATTTTCAGATAAATGTAAGAGTAATAAAGCTTTCATACAAGAAGTATTATCTCAGAACCCATCCCTTCTGACCTGCTGTGGGCTGAAACAGTCCCAGAGCCAGAACTTCAGGCAGGGCCTGGCCCTGGCCCTGCACTGAATGCCAGAGGCTCTCTCTCTGCTGGGGAGGCTCAGTGCAGCTATTCTCTATAAAGAAATACCAGGTATAAAGTTTAACAGAAATATTGCCTGCACATCAGCAGGTCTCTCACAGGATGTGTAATTGCTCTGATGGATAACTGCAACAATAGCACTGACAGGGAACCTTCATTGTTATGCTGTTGTTTACAGCCCGTGTCAAAAGAATCATTTTAATAAATACAAAGTCCTTTTAGGAAATTAAGATTTCTTCTTTATTTGAGGGAGAAAAAACAACAACACGAAATTATTTTGCTAATTACTGGCAAAGTCATTCTTGCTACATTACCTATTTTTAAAACTCACATTTCATTCAATTAAGATTTCATACTGTTGACAAAATGATGCCGTCCAAAAAAAAATATTGTAATAACTGCTATATACAAGCCCATAAATAAACTGCAAGATTTTCAAGCTTCAAGAGACTGAGGACAGAAAGAGATTGTTTAAAGATTCATTTGAGCATTTCTTATTCAGTACATTTGCTGCATTCAGTACCAAGAAAAACACTTTGAATCAAACAAAAAGAATGGATATCCATGGCAAGGGAACACACTTGTGCTTGGTGGGGATTTTCACCAGTTTATCAAAACCAGGAGAAGCCCCATCCCCGATGCTGTGTGAGAAATTCAGTGCTCCCAACCTCAGGGGCCAAGAACAAGGGAAAACTGCTCCATCCCCAGCCCCTGCAGCCAGGGAGGACCCAGGGGTGACCAGGGGTGACCAGGGCTCCCTCACCACACTGCCCTGTCCCATTCGAGAGTACAAAACCAAACACATTTTCATGTTTGTCTTAATGGGGACACTGGGGAGGGTGACCAGGCCTCCCTCATAACACTGCCTGCCCCATTCCGGAGTATAAAACAAACACCTTTTCATGCCTGTCTTAGTTTTGGTGAACAATTTTAAACCAGAGCACACCTAGATGAAAACCAGATGCAGCCCTTTTGTAGCAGTGTCACTGCTGTGGCTCCTGTTTGGGGATTTTTCCAAATGGACACAGGGCGGCCACAAAATGACCAATACAGCCCAGGTCATAAAAATTGTGCAGAGGGGAATAATCTTAAAAATTAGGCTTAAATTAAACAAAAAAAAAAAGCTTTTATATGTTGTCTGGTTCATTCACAGAACTTTGTGCTATAACACAATGGTTGGAAAATGATCAAGGAGGGTTTCAATCTGCATTTGTGGTCACAGTGTAAAACAACCAAAAGCAAACCAAAGAAACAAACCAAAACCAAAAGAACTCATATGGTCCAATATAAAAATATGCTTAAATACATTGTCTGCACACAAGACAAACTCTGACCACTGTTATCACAGTACTCCTCTATTCCATCTCCTCTGTACATTCCAAGGGTTCTGTCTACAGGGTCTTTTGGGGGAAAAAAATAATTTTCACGCCAAGAAAAGCCCATATATTTGCACAGTTCTAAGACAGAGCAGTGCAGAAAAGGCTAGGAGGAAACCATACAGAAAAGCCAAAATAAAGACACTGCCATCTGCATATTTAGCTTTTACTGAGCCTCTGTTTGGAGTTAGCTGTCAACCACTGGAGTTATTTAGCACTAGGAAACATGAGATTAAAGCCCGTGGATTTAAATGTGTGATGTGCAGTTCTGCTGTATTCCAGCTGCAGAAATCCAGCGCAGACCTGGTGCAACTAAAATAATTTCTGTAGAATGTTCTGAGCTGTAAGCTTGGGTGGACTCTGGGCTTCCAGTCTGGGGATCACACCAACAGGTCTTGGCTGGGAAGGGGAAAAGGCAGGAAAGATTGGGCCAAACTGAAACAGATAATTTTTTAGTGCAGGAAGGAAACAGGGACAAAACTTGGTTTGGATCAAACAGAAATTAAATGCATTGAGTTTTTCTAAACTTTAAATTCCATGTCTTTTGGATTAAACACCTGGCAAAATTCAGCCATAATTGGTGGGTTAAAGATCAATTTACTTTCATTTAACTTTTTGATAAATTTACTATGCAATAGAAAATTTCCACTCTGCACATTAGAGCGTAAATACCTTTTCTCTTGGAAACAAACAGCACATTCACTGGGACCAGGAATGCTCTGAGCTGCTGAATACACAAACATTTAATTAAGGTTAAAAAACCCCAGCATGAAACATCTTAGCAAGAGGCGAGGTTGAAGAGTTGCATATTTTCTGCCTGTTTGGGGGGTTTTTTTGCATATTTTCGGCAGTACTTTGGCAGCCCAGGGGCTCAGGACAGTGAATTCCTGCTGATGTCTGAGGCACAGGGGACAGGAGCTGGGGCTGCAGAGCCACCCTGGGGAATCCCTCTGCAGACCCGGGATGCTGAATAAACCCCAGAGAAGCCCCAGGGGCTGTGCCAGGGGTGAACTCTGGTGCACAGCTGGGGTGGCCCTGCCCCGTGCTCCAAACACCGCTCCACAACCCACAAAACACTGCTCAGAATAAAAATCACAGTGTTCATTTCCTCCTTAAAGGTACTTCATGGCAGTACTAAAGCAGAAGCTGCTAAATGCTGAGCAGAGTCTGAAAGCACAAAAGAGACTGCAGAGCCCTGTTTAAAAGCTGTCTGCAGGAAATAATACACAGAGCTGTTTGCAGGCTGGCTGCCTTCACAGTATATCAGTGTGTTACACCCTCGTGGCAGGAGTTCAGTGCCTCAAAACGACCAGAAAAAGGAGCAAGGTAAGTCACAGTGCCAGCTCTTGGCTCCTAGAGGCCACAGTGAGTTTGGAAAATGCACTCGACGGAGAGCTGTGGATTGCAGCCCCGAGCTGCAGGCAAAGCAGGGCAATAATTGATAATTTGTATGGCAATACAGACACAGAGCAGCAACAGAGGTGCTGGGGGCTGCTCTAGGACCACCACAGCCAGCTCTGCCTCTGACAACATGGCAAGAGGAGGAGCTAAAATGCTAACAGGCCACATCCAGGAGATTTACACCTGCCAGGTGCTGTTCACGTGTTTATCAGCTTTGCTCATCCACACCCACGCTGGGAGTGGGGAGCTGGAACCTGCTTCTCCCTCAAGCCCTGGCCTCCTTGTAGCATTTAGATAAACACCATAATACGTGTTTGGAATCAACTTCACTTTGATAATTCTGCAAGGTAAAAAATGTAAACAGAGAGAGCACAGCAAGTCTGGAATAGTCTCATTACAACATCACAATGGGAAGCATTTCATTTTGGAGCATAAAAACCCATCTTTTCAGAGGTATGGTGCTTTCCCTCAGTTCTGGGAGCTGGAATGATTCAGGGAGCAATAAGCCCTCCTTGCGTACCTAGCGTTTTCATCATTGCTGACAAAACCATCCAGTGTATATTTGTGCTGGTCACTTTTACAGGTATTGCTAATAGCCAAGTGCAAGAACGTGTTACAGTTCTGAAGGCAAGCAACGAGGGCTATTTACTCAACAAAACAACATGGCAATTCCCAATTCATTAGGCAGTGATTTAAACCCCAGTTCTGTGCTGTCACTGGCAGTGAGGAACAGCTGGTGGACACGGTGTGGAGGTCCTGATGTATGGCTCGGTTTTCTCTGAGGAGCTGCTGCTCCTGTCACACTGCTGATAAATCAATGCGGTTTGCTGAATTGCTGCTTTTATCCCAGGTGTTCAGCTTGGTGGGGGTTGTGCCTGGCCTGTTCCCACTCATCTGGAAAATAAAATAGTATAGAAAATCTATTTATTTATTTTGCCAAGCAACTCTTGCCTGGATGAAATAAAAGCTTGAAAGCATCTGTTTACATTACAGTGTTGTCACAGGGTCTGGAGAGCATATGCCATAAAGGATTCTTAAACAGTTATTGCCAGGATCTGGGGTGATTGGCAACGATCACTTCATAATACCTATCACTTCAGATGTCTGGTTCCTTATAAAAACAAATGTCTTCTGTCTCAAGGCAATCTAAGGAGAGCTGGAAAATGACATTCATGTGTTGGTTTAACAGTAAGAAAGCCCTACCAGAGAGCCACCATCATCAGAGCAATACACTGCTAAATGCTGCCAAAATGCACAAGTCCATTGCAGTTGGTGGGAATGGCCTTACTAACCATAGCCAGAGCTCATAAAGCTGCTTGCTTTTATCTGATGGTTTCCCAGAAAGCAGAGTTTTGTCCTTTGCTTTCAAAACAGATATTACAGCTGCAACTTTGTGCTTGCTGGCTCCACCTGTCTGCACCTTGCATTAGGCTGGTACTAAAAACACCCATGGGCCTGCTCTGTTCTTTCCAACAGAATTTAATGGGAAACACTCTCAAGTACAGTAGGGGAAAAAAGGAGCAATACTTACAATGTCTGAATTGAAGGGCTTCACATTGATGTTGCGTGTTGAACTGCTGGTGAGGGACCAGACCTTGGTTTTGTGCTTAAAGGCAGCTCTAACCTTTGGCAAAAACAGTGAAAACAGCTGAAAAAGCTGTGTTTGTTTTCACAGGTGCAGCCTGCAATCATTTCCCCTTTTTCCTCCCTCCACACAAATGTCACCGTGCTATTAAACAACAAACAATCCACCCCTACACTTTTCTTTGTCTTTATGGACTTTTCCCTGGGACAGTTTCACATTTCCTGACTGCACACGGAGCCCCAGGCTCTCCCTGGCTGCACCGACAGGTCCAGGTGCCACCAGCACAGAGAGCAGCTGCCAGCCTGCTGCAGAATTGGTCACTGAAAGGTGCTGGATGGGGGTCCCTGGAGATGGAGCAATATTCTCCACCAAGGGAAAATCAGCTGCAGAAAGGACAGATGGTGAGACAAGGAGGGGAGACTGGTCAGGGACTGAGGCTGGAAGTGACTGGTGTGGAGATCAAGGGCACCTTGGCTCATTCTCCTGTAATTCTTTACAATACCAGCGCATTTCTGTCTGGAAATAAAAGCCCTTTTTCACCCAGCCACTTCTGTACCCAGTCCATGGATGTTTCTTTACAATATCGGGGTTTTACTTCCCAGAAAGAAATTCTCAAGAGTTCCTGCTGTTTAGCTAAAGGAGTATTTTAGACATGCACTGCCTGTGAAGGAGCCAGTAGGACCTGCTCTCCAAAAATAACAGTTCAGCATCAGCTGTGTGGTTTTTGAGGATAAAAATTCTGAAAAGTTTCTGAATTTAATTTCTCATGAGGTTCCAGAAAAAATAACAGCAATTCAAATATTTGTATTTGATCTAAAACATTTGAAACTTGAAGATTTCTAAGCCTGGGGGAGAATAGAATAAAGAAATATTTTTCCTCCCTACCTTTAACCTGCTTGCTTAATTTTACTTGATTTCAATAAAGACCAAGAGATCCACAATCGGACCTGACTCTCCAAACTGATTTTGGCAGAGATCACATCAGTGAATGCTCTGGGCTGGAACAGGTTGGCAAATATTAACAAATAATAATTTCTCTACAGAAGAGCACAGAAGCAGCAGCAGGTTATGGGGCAGAGCTCCTCATGAGCGTCCAGGACAAAACCTGTGCAGAGCCAAAGCTGCCGGGGTCTGCACTGGGCCCTGCCCTGGCAGCTCTGCAAACGGCTCCCACAAAAACCATTTCCTTCAGCAATACTTGTGGCTGGGCATTTTCTGCTATCTGCCACGGGAGGAGACGATGCTGCAAGCCAAATTTACATCAGCCTTGTCTTGGCTTTATCCCAGCTGTTCTAATGAAGCCTTAATGCAAAAAATGCCTCAGTCCCCTGCGAACACCTGAACTTCCTGCCAAGAAAAATACCTGGAATATCTTCTGCCCAGTAGGGCTTCCCATTAAGGACTGCATGGGCAACATCCAGAAGTGTGTTTTGCTGAGAATGATATTTATTTTCCTCGCTGGGGCTGCAGCTGTACCAGAGCCCCCAGCAGGGACTGCCAGGGTGAGTCCAGCTCCCATTCTCCTGGTCCCATTCAATCCTCTCCCCACAGAGCAGTCCTGCTCCCATTGTGCAGCATCCTCTCCCCACAGGGCAATCCTGCTCCCATTCTGGAGCATCCTCTCCCCACAGAGCAATCCTGCTTCATTCTGCAGCATCCTCTCCCCACAGAGCAGTCCTGCTCCCATTGTGCAGCATCCTCTCCCCACAGAGCAGTCCTGCTCCCATTCTGGAGCATCCTCTCCCCACAGAGCAATCCTGCTTCATTCTGCAGCATCCTCTCCCCACAGAGCAGTCCTGCTCCCATTGTGCAGCATCCTCTCCCCACAGAGCAGTCCTGCTCCCATTCTGGAGCATCCTCTCCCCACAGGGCAATCCTGCCTGCTCTGATTCTGGAGCATGCTCTCCCCACAGGGCAATCCTGCTCCCATTCTGGAGCATCCTCTCCCCACAGAGCAGTCCTGCTTCATTCTGCAGCATCCTCTCCCCACAGAGCAGTCCTGCTCCCATTCTGGAGCATCCTCTCCCCACAGGGCAATCCTGCCTGCTCTGATTCTGGAGCATGCTCTCCCCACAGGGCAATCCTGCTCCCATTCTGCAGCATCCTCTCCCCACAGAGCAGTCCTGCCTGCTCAGCCCCACAGCTCCAGAACAGTTTCCTCCTGACTCTTCAGCTGCTCCTCTTATCTTGGTTCTGTGCTTCAAACCTTCCTCTAATTAAATGCCAATTAAAACAAACGTCAAGCACGGGTAAAAATGCTGCAAGTCACGGAGCCAGAAGAGTCATGGACTAATTAAAAGAAAAAGGAAATCAGTGGCATAGCAGGCAATGATAATGCAGAAAGTCTTTTCTTGCTTCACACTTATGTTCTTTGAATTTGGTAACACCAGATTCATTAACACCATTTGGTTACATACCTCTGAGTTCAGAAGACAGTGAAACAGGAACATGAAAAATCCCTGAAAACAGAAAAAAGGGACAAGGGTGAGGTCTGGCTGTGAAAAATCAAATGTTTCATACTGTGTTTCTCTCAGTGTGTACAGAACAGGCATCAGGAGCTGGAGCCCTGTAAATATCTGAGTGCACTAAACCAGAGTGTCCCAAGTGAAACTGGAGAAACCTGCAGCACTGGGTCACTGTGGGGCTTCTCTGGAACTATTCCTGCAAAAGAACACCTCCTAAACTTTGCTGTACTAAAGGAAAAATCTGGCTGAAAATATGCAGAAATTCTTGTTTCATGACAACACGAGAACTTTTTGTTTGTGGTTGCAAAGACCAAGGAGAGGGAAATGCTTTCAGGGAAACACCAGATCAGGATTTTTCAGGTTAGAAAAGCAAGGTATTAGCACCAGGAGAATTTTCACAGCAGAATTTTGCTATCTTTGGGCTTTTAGTCCAATGCTAAGTGAAAAGTCCAATGCAACGTGAAAATCCCCTTCCCTCACAAAGTAATTTTATTTTTCTGGCAGCAGTTTTCAGCACTAAGAGTCCTGTTTCACTGGTTTTGTATCCACAGTGGTGTTTGTTTCCAATTAGAGAAAGGATTTACATGAGATTGTTTTTCCCTCCTCTTTGTACCCACTGCTTGGGAATGCCCTGTAACACGCCTATATACAGGTTATGCCTGTGCTGAAATGTCTGCTCAAAGCCAAGCAGATGTTTACATTCCTCCTCGGACAGAGCTGCTTTTCTGGGTTGCAGTGCCAAGGAGATGAGGGCTGAGCTTCCTGCATGCAGGAGCTCTGTACTGCACAGGGAATAGCTCCACTTTTGATCTTTCCCATAAACTTCTGTTTGCTTTCATTTAGTCTCAGTAATGAAGCCTCAAATTGGCATTGAAAAGTTGGCCTGGTATCTCTACAGAAGAATCCTGCCTGTGGTACACAGTGCTGCAAGAATGAATTTCTTTTCATTTCTGAGGCTCAGTGCTGTCTCATTTATTTAATTATTGCTACTGGAAACTCCAAGGAGTGGGATACAAGTTCTGTTCAAACAAAGACAAGCAATTGCCAGCACTCCGTGCTTAGCACAGACTTAAAAGACAGAGGAAGGAACACAGGAAAAAATGCAATAAACATAAACATGTGAAGACATTACTAATGAGGCATTTAATTGGATCTCAGAAGCACTTCTGTAGCCATAGATTTCCCCACCAGGTACTTACCTGTAGTGAATTAAAAACAGCAAATATGTACTGAAATACTAAAGCGTGGGCATTGACAGCCAAAATGCCAAAGATCCACGAGCTGCCCAGGATGGGTAAGAGAACAGCCACGGCTTTAGCTGTTAGTCTGTGGGAGAAAATGAACACAGGAAATTGTGGTGAGACCATTAAAGCAATGTCAGCCTCCACACCAAGGAGTTTATCAATTACGTTCTGGCAGCAAGGCAGCAGGCAGAACTCCTCTTTACTATAAAATTATTTTGATGGGAAAGATTTTAATTATTTTTTCATCTGTGGAAAAGGGGATAACAGAACATTGGTATCACACAGGATAAATACAGGTGGTGAGTCATGAACTGAGGGAGCAGGGAAACAGATCTGAGAGATGGTGATAAAAACACATAAAAACAGGGCAGGCATGGCCTCAGTTCACAGAGAGGTTTGTAGTGGGCAGCCAAGGGCAGGAGTCAGAGGGCAGCGAGTGCTGCACATCCCAGCCCACGCACAGACACAGCCTGTCCAGCCTGGGATCAGCCAGAACACTCACCAGGGCAGGGGCAAAGCACCCTGCTATCATGGCATTGCCAAAGAGCCAGCAGCAATCCACCCATGCGCACCCAGAACACTCACCAGGATAGGGGCAAAGCACCCTGCCATGGAGGCACAGCTGCAGAGCCAGCAGCAATCCACCTGTGCACACCCAGAACACTCACCAGGATAGGGGCAAAGCACCCTGCCATGGAGGCACAGCTGCAGAGCCAGCAGCAATCCACCTGTGCACACCCAGAACACTCACCAGGATAGGGGCAAAGCACCCTGCCATGGAGGCACAGCTGCAGAGCCAGCAGCAATCCACCTGTGCACACCCAGAACACTCACCAGGATAGGGGCAAAGCACCCTGCCATGGAGGCACAGCTGCAGAGCCAGCAGCAATCCACCTGTGCACACCCAGAACACTCCTCAGGCCAGGGGAAAACCACCCTGCTGTCATGGCATTGCCGAAGAGCCAGCAGCAATCCACCCGTGCGCACCCAGAACACTCACCAGGATAGGGGCAAAGCACCCTGCCATGGAGGCACAGCTGGAGAGCCAGCAGCAATCCACCTGTGCGCACCCAGAACACTCACCAGGATAGCTGCAAACCAGCCTGCCATGGAGACACAGCTGCAGAGCCAGCAGCAATCCACCTGTGCGCACCCAGAACACTCACCAGGATAGGGGCAAAGCACCCTGCTGTCATGGCATTGCCGAAGAGCCAGCAGCAATCCACCCGTGCGCACCCAGAACACTCACCAGGATAGGGGCAAAGCACCCTGCTGTCATGGCATTGCCAAAGAGCCAGCAGCAATCCACCTGCAGGAGCAGATGAACCTGTGCACACCAGGCACATTTCCAGTGCCAGCCCCTCCTGGCCAGCTGAGAACAATTCAGCAGGAAAAGCACAAAGAAGGGACCAGTCCCCATCTGGAGCATGTGCCAGCAAGGCAGATCTGATCCAGCTTCTACAAACACTTGGTGAGCTCCTGTGGTAGCCCATGGGATTAATGCAGATTGATCAAATTAAGTGTTTAAAATATCGGTTAATTCAGTCCATGGTGCAGTTACAGACAGAGAAGCCACGGGGCAGAAAAGAAACAGGGGTAGTGAGGAACTAAAAGTCAGTCCCTGCTTGCTAAAACCGTGTTTTTCAGAAATGACCAGATTTCTATTTAGATGGGAACCTATGCAAGAAAAAAAAGCCGTTTCAGGGAGATTAATGTCCTACTTGTGCCTTGTGCCCCCTTGCACAGATTAAAGCACACATTGAGAGAAATGCACAGAGCTGCCTGACAGGAGACTGCTTGTAATTACAGCAAACACAAAACAAATTATATTTTTGTACAGCACAATTCAATGAAGAAATCTTTTAATTAAACTTGGAGACAAGATGTCTTGTCCATTTCAGTGACCTGAGCACACACTTCATTATATCCTCAACTAAAAGTGTGTCATGAAGTTTATAGGGAAATCTGGGACAGGGAAGCATCTAGATTTTTTTTCTGTTCTGGTTGGGGTTTTTTCTGTATTGATTCATATCTCTGTATGCTCAGCCATGAATATTTCTGCACAATTCAATCTAATTCTTCAAGGAATTTTTCCGTCAGAAAATGAAGGAATGTCTTAAAGCTTGAGGTCCTATTTAAATTTTAAAGCGCATTTTAAAAGATACAATTTTTAAACAACTTACACAAGTTTATTTTTGTGAATCAAAGATGCTCTGGGTTGTTTTTTTTTTCTCTGATAGGATTAAAGATCCTCCCCAGACTCTAAGATGAAATATGCTGCACTGGGGAGCTGCCAGCAGAACAGCTCCTGCCATGGAGTTTGTGCAGGAAGAGCTGTGAAATGGCACTGAGCACTCGGGAAAACGCAGAGTGCGGGATCAGGGGCTGGGCAGGCCAGGAACACCTGGGGATGGATCCAGACCCTGGAGAGTTCAGGTGTTCAAACACCTGGGGATGGATCAGGTGTCCCAACACCTGGGGATGGATCAGGGACATCCAGACCCTGGAGAGTTCAGGTGTTCAAACACCTGGGGATGGATCAGGTGTCCCAACACCTGGGGATGGATCAGGGACATCCAGGTACATCCAGACCCTGGAGGGTTCAGGTGTGTGAACACCTGGGGATGGATCAGGTACATCCATACCCCAGGATGTGCTCAGGTGTTCAAACACCTGGGAATGGACCAGGTACACCCAGACCCTGGAGAGTTCAGGTTTGAACACCTGGGGATGGATCAGGGACATCCAGATCTCTGGAGGGTTCAGGGTTAACCCTCTGCATCCTGAACCAGCAGGGACTGGCACACCCAGCACAGCTCCACCTGTAAAACTCCCTTCGCCACAAACCACCTTCTTTTCTTTCCCCCCTTTGTTCTCACACTCTCTGGTTTAATAAAATTTTCAGTTTGGAATATAATTTTCCCCAAGTATTTTGTTGCCAAAAATGTTATCATGGTTTCCCTTTGAGTCAGAGCATCAAGGGCTTCGTCTGATTTGTAGCTGGGGGCAGAATAGTCTGGCAGTCAATTTTCAATGTTTCCAAAACCATTCTTACAGTTTGGATTTCCAGAAGCCTTTAATATTGCAAATTACTAATATAATTTTAAAAATCACGTTTAAATAAAGATGGCTCCTCATGAAGCCCAAAGTTCAGCACATGCGCAGCAGAATTCCATAGCTAAAATGAAAATACAATCCAGATGTGGAATTTTCCATGCTAGAGTATTAATGTTTCATGCACACTCATTTAGAAAAGCAGCCATGCAAAGGTGAAATTTGTTCAAGACTGAGGGTCAGCTCTGCCTATGATTCTCTTAAATCTCAGTAAGAATTTTTTTTTTATTTTCCCCTAGTTATTGCATAGCCTTCTATGCAATTTGGCATTTCATCCTGAGTAGGAAATTATTAATTCAAGGTGTTTATGGGCTTTACCTACCAATCAAAGGACCCGGTTCTACGGTTCCTGGAGCTCTTTTGTCTTCTCCCACTTACCCCTCCCCTTCCTACCCTTATTCCTCTTTAATCTTTTAACTTTAAAAAAGAAAAATACCAACTGTAAAATGCTGCTTCAGAATGCCATTAAGGTAGCAAGGTTAAAAAAACCCGAGAAATACAAAAGTTAATGTTCCACTAGGTGCATTAATTCTGACACGCTGCACGTACTTTATCTTTTCTTTTTATTCCAGTTTTCCTTTGGTACATGAATATTTTAGTAGATTAGTTCTAGTACACTAAGATACAGAGCACAATCAAATAGAAGCTTTTGGAGAAGGAATACTTCCCCATGCACGACTTATGCTGTGCAACCTAAAAGAAAACAGTCCCTAGCATCAATGGAGCTTTACATTGTCCATGAAAGTGTGACATGAAGCACTAATTTGGGGCAGGGGCTGTGCTTACTCTGCAGGTACTGTGGTTCAGCCCCACCAGGAGCTCAGAAACCTTGCTAGAAGCTTCTTTCTTGTGCCCAAATGTGTCAGAAAACAGAACAGCCATCTACATTTCCCCTGAGTGCCCCTTCTCATGCCCTGGCAATTAACAGCCTCACAAAATTAGCAGCCTCAAATTAACAGTGTCTCACATGCACTTTCAAAGCTCAGTCCAATAGCACCAAGTGTGGTGAGATTTTGTCTCTCTGCATCTAAACACACTGAAGGATCAGTCCTGGAATGAATTCATGGGGAACAAAGCAAATCCAGCACAGAATCCCCTTTCTATCATCACATTTTGCCAAGTTGTTGTTTTTGGGGTTTCTTTGTAGAAAAAACCACTGTCGTTACTGAGACAATTTCTGGAAAACACAAAAATACTTACATACAAAAATACTCTGATTTAATTTTTACATCCGGAGTACCTGGAGAAGCCTTTGGGGTGCGAGTATCTGCACAGAGCCTACCTGTGAGTTCAGGCTGTGCTTTGGGGCTGCTCCACCCTGCACCAAAACCCCTTGGGGTGGCAGAGACTGATGGAGCTCTGCTCACCCAGAGCCAAACGGGCTTTGGCAGGGCTTGGGGAGCCCTGGGAGCACAGGTAACACCTACAGGTGTGCCAGGTAATGCCTGCAGGCGTGCCAGGTAACGCCCTGCAAGTGTGCCAGGTAATGCCTGCAGCTGTGCCAGGCCCTGGCAGCTCAGGCAATGCCCTGCAGCTGTGCCAGGTAACACCTACAGGTGTGCCAGGTAATGCCTGAAGCTGTGCCAGGTAACGCCCTGCAGGCAATGCCCTGCAGGTGTGCCAGGTAACGCCCTGCAAGTGTGCCAGGTAATGCCCTGCAGGTAATGCCCTGCAGCTGTGCCAGGCCCTGGCAGCTCAGATGCTGTCCCACTCACTGAGCACTCGTGGCTGAGCCCCTCTGGCAGACAGCCAGAGCCCAGCTCCTTTGAAAGGCCTCAATCAATTTTTCAGACACAGGAACAGCATTCTCTCCCTCCATTAATTGCTAAGCTGTCCATTCAACATCCACTCACCCTTTCAATCTCCAGCTGAAAAAAAAGATGCTTTCCTTCCCTTTTCCTGTTCTTGGGGTTGAATTCTATTTCCTGAGAAGTAAAAGCTTCTTGACAGAGCTCTCTTCCCATCCAC